AGTAGATTAAAAAGAAAAAGCAGTGGAAATAAAGGAAAAAAGTATGGTCTCTATCAATATAAAAAATGTAATAATACTCATGTCAACCTTCAATACACAAAGTAAGAATATCTAGTAATTTGCTACTTAATAATTTAGGTTGATCTACATATATATGGCTTATGTGTAAATGGATTAATCTAATAAAAATGCAACAGGAATAATAACTTTATTATTTTTTTCATAATTTACACTCTGCGTATTACTGCAGCACTATTTTTTTTTTGTTTTATGAGACTTTGGGGAGACTTCTTTGATTTGAGGGGAAAGGATAGAGCTCTGAGATCCCTATCACATAACAACAGAAAAGAAAAAAGTAAAAAGTGTAACTCCCCACCAAATGAAATTCTAAAAAAAATTAATAACAATAAAATTCACAACAAAAATGAGGTGGAAAATACTCAAAACAATACATTGTTAATATTATAGGCTACCATACTAAATTATGGCATATAGATGTACTTTGTTTGAAAGACAGTAGAAGTTCAGTATAGATGATAAATAAACAATACATGAGTATAGAAATTTATTAGTTCACTTTTTTCACTGGCCTTATTGAGGGGTACAATTTTTGCACAATGATCGGACCATTCTTGTAAAATCAATAAAAGAAAGAAAGAAAGAAAGAAAAAAAATATTTTTTTTTTCTATGAAAGTGAGCAACACCTGGGAGGTTTTATTCTAAGCAGTTCTAAGACCACTATCAAAGTTAATTTTTTTCCCATAAAAACTGATTCCCCTGAATGCATATGACAAACCATAATTACAAATATCATACCTTCATGATATAGAAATTAACCCATAACTTTAATGTACAAAATAATCCAAAGAAGTTTAACCCACTGGATCCAGGTGATGTGACGGCCATGTCATGAAAATATTTAGCTGAGGGCCAGGGTGGTGAGACTGAGCCACCATGAAAGATTTGGCTGGAGGCTTGACTTGCCACAGGTGTACATAGGATGGAAGATCAGACTCAGTGGGCATTTAGGAAGAGGCTCTTGCATTTTTTCCCATCAGTAACATGAGTGGGAAGTTTTATTTGTGAGCCATGACTGGGTGACACTATCTCCTGGCCATAAAAAAAAAAGGTTATGAAGAAAAATGTATTAACACTGCAGGGGAAGGCAGAGTTTTGACATCACACCTGACTGTTTGTTTGTGTGGGTCAGGCCTACAAGCCCCACACCTGGGATAATCCTCACTCAAGTAAGCCTAATGCCTAGATTTTGCTCCATGTGTGGGTCAAAGTCACCCAGATCCAATGGCTTAATCATTCCTACAATATATCCTTAAAATTCACAGAAGATAAAATAAATTAGATTCATACTTACTTCAAATCTTCCTTTAGGACATTATTTAGGAAGTGTTCATATCTCTCCACCTTCTCTCTGTCTGCCATTATACCAGCTCTCTGAAAAACAAACCTATTAAATAGCAAAAAACATGAGTCAGTAATGCAAAAGGATTAATTGATAATCTTTAACATAATTAATTTTCCGACCAATATACCAAAACTTCTTGTATGGTTTACTAGAATGATGAAAAAACCGTTTATATATACACCCACACACACACACACACAAATGTAAATGTATATTCACCCATTTATTTATTTATTTATCAATTTATCTATTCTTATTCAGAGGAATTTTGAAAAGGATTGATTTTTTACTTATGCCGATGTAAATGTTTCGGTACATACAGTTTGTCCTTGCATTACTAGACCCCTTGAAAATTATGAGTAAGTTTGATTAATTTTTACCTTTGCCTTCTTTTTGAAAATTAGACTACATTTTTGTCAAGGGTTCATTTGGACTTCAGAATTTTAACCATGAGTTGCACTTGCTTTGTGTATCAGGCTGGCTTGGAATACTTAAAGAGGTACACATTAAACATTTGATGCCTCTTGCACATCACAACTACTATGGCAAAGCTTCATCACATCTTAGAAATAAGTGTTGTATTTGGCAAGGTAAAGAGTAGGGGTATATGAAGAGGGTAGGAATTATGGTAAATGTTTAGAGACACTTGTAATGGGCTTAAATACTAGACAGTAAAGTCTCACATTTGGCAAACTTGCATTTAAATTTTGCAACCTTTATCAACTGCTACCATGCACTTCAGCTACCAAAAACTTCCATTTAGTGATCATATTACCACTAATATTGAAATCATTAAATTATTCCCTTCTTCCCTTTCTTAAGAGTGTAGATGACTTCACAGAATGTAAGGGAGGGAGGGAGCCAGCCATTGACTAATGATGAAAACTGGGACAAAGGTCAATCATGAAAGTGAAAAGAAAAAGCATGAGTGTTATAAGAGAAAGAAGTTTACGAGATATACAGCGAAAAACAAAGCAAAGGGATTGACACAAAATGCTGGAATATGAATTGTTGTGCTAATCTTCCTCTCATTCTTACCAAATAAAGGATTATAAATAAAACTATTTTCTCAATCA